GCAGATCACACCCCTAAGGCAGCTACTCGACTGCTCACAGTAGATTCTACCGTGGAGTTGATTGCCAGTCTCATTATGGCGAATAACTACATCTAGCTGCTCAGCCACTCAGCCAGGCCCAGCCAAGTTGACACATAACCTTAACTACCACAGGAAGTGTTTCATCCTCTTGTTTTTTGGAAGAATTTGTGAAGGATTGGTGGTAGTTCTTTAAACTATTGGTGGGATTCCCCAGTAAAGCCTTTTGTTTTCATTTCCTAGTACTGCTGTAACAAATGCCACAAATGGGTGGCTTTGAAGAGCATACGTTTATTTTCTCACAATTCAGGAGGCTACATGTCCAAGTTCAGGGTGTGGCTGTAGGGGAGGTCATTCCTTGTCTATTTTAGCTGCTGCTTCTATTTATTTATCTATGTTTACTTTTATTGTGGAGAAAGCATACACATCAAGGCATTCACCAGCATAACAACTTTCACATTTATAGCTCAGGGACATTGATGACATTTTCCATGTTGTGCCACCATTATTGCTATCATTTCCCAAGATATTCTACCACTGTTAGCATAAACTCAATGGCCCGCAAACAAAATCCTCCCCTTTCCTCTTCTCTCCTGCTCCTGGTAACCACCAGTAGTCTTTGCTTTCTACCCCGCCGCTGTGTAACCTGTCTAACAGTGTTCCTTACCCTCCCTCTCATCCCTAATAAATAACAAAGAAAATTTTCTTCCATATATAAACCTTTCCTGGACTTTTTACAATAGCGGACTGATACAATATTTGTCCTTGTGTGATTGACTTATTTCACTCAGCATAATGTCCTCCAGGTTCATCCAGGTTATGTGGTGTTTTGCAGATTCTACATTATTCTTTAGTGTTGCATGAAATTTCACTGTGTATGTGTGTATGTACCAGAGTTTGGTTATCCACTCCTCCGTTGTTGGCTACTTAGGTTGCTTCCATCTCTTTGCTGTTGTGAATAGTGCTGCCAATGAACATGGGTGTGCGTATTTCTATTTGTGTCCTGGCTTTCACTTCTTTAGGACATATATCTAGTAATGGGATTTCTGGATCAAATGATGTTTCTATTTCCAGCTTTGTAAGGAATCGCCATACTAAGTGGTTGTATCATTTTACAGTCCCACCAGAAGTGTATGATAATCCTAATCTCTCCACATTATTTTAGTTTCTTCTTGTTTTTTGTTAGGTGTCTAGGAGTCAGTTTTGATGCACAGAGATCCTCTGTACTATAGAACAAAACACTGCCTAGTCCTGCGCTGGCAATCCTTGGAGTTCCTGAGCTTGTGGATTGGTTTGCCTCCATTGTAGTCAGATAGTGTCTGTCTTCTCCTGTGTCTTTGCTTTTGGGTCTAATCTGCATTTTTATAACTTGTTGTTGTTGTTGTTGCAATAATTAAATTTAGTACTTACCCTACTTAGATAGGAGCTCTGGTGGCATAGTGCCTAAGGCATTTGACTGCTAACCAGAAGGCTGGCAGTTCAAACCCATCAGCCACTTCTTGGAAAGAAGATTAGGCAATGTACTTCCGTAGTGATACCGCCTCGGAAACCCAAGGAGGACTTGCTATGAGTCAGATCTGGTGGTTTTTTTTTCCCCTACTTAGGTATGGTCTAATTAACATAACAAAGAGAACTCTGTTCCGAAACAGGATTACATCTACAGTTCCAACACATATTTTAGGGGGACACAGTTCAATCCTTAACACTATCTGAGCTTAAGCTTTTATTTGTGGGAAGTTTTTTTATTATTAACTCAATCCCTTTACTTGTTGTATAGTTCTATTCAAATTTTCTATTTCTTCTTGAGTCAGTTTTGGTAGTTTGTGTCATTCTAGGAACTTTTTCATTTTATCTAGATTCTTTAATTTATTAGCATACAATTGTTAAAATATTCCTTTATAATCCTTTTTATTTCTGTAAAGTTGTTAGTGACATTCCCTCTTTTGTTCCTGATTTTAGTAATCTGAGTCTTCTTTCTTTTTCTTGGTCATTGTGGCTAAAGATCTGTCAATTGTTAAAAGTATGTATATATGTGTATATATATATAGGGGAGCTCGGTGGCATAGTGCCTAAGGCATTTGACTGGCGGTTCAAACCCACCAGCCACTCCTTGGAAGGAAGACTGGACAATCTACTTCCGTAGAGATACTGCCTCAGAAACCCGAGGAGGGGTTTCTATGAGTCGGAATTGACTTGACGGCAGTGAGATATATATTATATGTATATGTTTTTTTCCAAAGAAATAAGTCTTGGTTTTGTTGATTTTCTGTATATTATCTTATTTATATCTGCTCTCTGATGTATGATTTCCTCCCTTCTGTTTGCTTTGGATTTGGTTTGTTTCTCTTTTCATAGATTCTTAAGGTAGAAGTTTAGGTTATTGATTTGAGATCTTTCTTCTTTTTTAATTTGGGTATTTATAATGATAATTTTCTCTCATCTTTGCTGCACACCGTAAGTTTTGCTGTATTGTGTTTTCATTTTCATTCATCTCAAAAGATCTTCAAATTTCCCATGCAATTTCTTCTTTGATCCATTGGTTATTTAGGAATGTGTTGTTTAATTTCTGCACATTTTGGAATTCCCCAAATTGCCTTCTGTTATTGATTTCTATTTTCATTCCACTGTGGTTGGAGACTATGCTTTGTATGATTTGTCATTTTAAATTGATCATGACTTGTTATATGGCCTAACATATAGTTTATTCCAGAGAATGCTCCACAGGCATTTGAGAAGAATGTTTATTATTTCTCCATCGCTGCCTTCTTTTGTGTTAAGTAGATATTTTCTAGTGTATCATTTTAATTCCCTTGTTGTTCTTTTACTATACGTATTTTTTGTTTTTTTTCTTCATCATTGCCCTGAAGATTTCTATTAACATCTTGATTTTTAATAATCTCATTTGGATTAAAACCACCTAGATTTCAATAATATACCAGAAGTTTGTTAGTATAGTTCTGTTCCCTCTCCTGTATCCTGTTGGTATCACAAATTTCATTTTTATAAATTATGTTATAAATTAATTATAAATTATAGATTTATAATTACTGTTTTATGCGGTCATCTTTTAAATTAGATAGGAGAAAAAAAGGAATTACATACACACTACATCTATACTTGTTCTCATAGTTACCTGTGCAGTTACCTTTGTCAGTGCTCTCTATTTCTCCATGTGAACTGGAGTTATTGTCTAGTGTCATTTCACTTCAGCCTGAAGGATTCCCTTTATTTCTTGTAGGGCAGATCTGCTAGTCAATAATTTCAGTTTTTGTTTATCTGTGAGTTTGTTAAATTCTCCTTCATTTTTGAAAGATAGTTTTTCTGGATCTAGAATTCTTGGTTCACATTTTTTTCTTTTTCTTTAATCAGTTTTAGCATGTCATTCCACTGACCTCTGGCCTCCATTGTTTCTGTTGAGAAATCAGCTGTTAATCTTATGATCTGATAGTCATTTCATCCTTGCTACTTTAAATAGTCTTTCTTTGTGTTTGACTTTCAGTAGCTTGGCTATGATGTGTTTACCTAAGCACCTCTGGGATTTTTGAAGTAGATACAACAGACAAGGTCAATGTGAATGATCGTTAGTGACTACCTACCCAGAAGCTGGGCTCAAGTTGGGCTCACTTAAAGTCCCAGAAAGCTACAATGAGTTTCCAGAAGTCTGGAAGTCATGTTAGCTCCTTCAAGGTACTTTGTGGACACACACATGCACACACACACATACCCCTGCACCTAGATGCCCTGTGGGGTGGTCTTGGCCTGGCGCTATCCGGCTGTACCTCCACCAGATGGCTGCTCATATCTCTGGCTCACTCAGAGGAGGGATAAAGCAGGAGCTTTCGGGTCCTGGAGGATGCACCTGGAGACCACTCTGCTCTCCCAATGTCCTCCCTGGGAATGACCCCATTGCCCTGCCTTGCTGTGTCCTCCCTGTGCTGCCCACTGAGGCTTACTTGGGTTTTAGTCCCATTTGATTTTACAGATCTTTCAGTTTTCCTTGAGCAAACCCCCGAAATTCCTGACTTTGTTTTTTTTTTTTTGCCAGCTGGAATTGTAAACTGTTTAAAATCTGCTTCCTCTCTGTGAACACATCTTACTCTCATAGACCGGGAAGAGGGCTCTTCCTCTTTGTATCTCCCCATATGCTCTGCTGCCCCTCCTCAGGTCACCTGGGGACAGGCTTCTGCTGGGATATTGGGAGTGATCTGTATTGATTCCTGGGGCACAGAACCCACCTGGACTGGTACCTCAAGGGGGCCTGGTGGGTCTACCCTTCAGCCTTGACTTTGGAGATGAGCCTCAGACCTCAGATTCTCTCTTTTCCTCCAGCCCTGATCCTGTGAGGCACAACATCTTGCACCCCACTTTTCACCACCTCCTGTACCCCTCCTGCCTCTGCAGATAGATCTCCCCTGGCTGGCCCCACAGCCTCACCCCCATCACTGACATTGCAGTGCTGCTCATCAGAAGCCCTGAGGACAGCTCCTCCAGCTGCTAACTTGCTGGCTTGTCCTCACATGGCCTCCTCTCTCTGATCCTGGGCTTTCCTGGAGTCCTGGGTGGCATGCCTTCCATCTCGTCCCTTCACAAGCACCCAGGACAGACTTGTCAGGGATAGCCTCTTTGACTGTGTAGCCCCTGAAGCTCCCACACCTGCCTCAGGCTCAGTGCCAGGTCCGAATCAAGGGGACGGTATTGGAGAGCAGAGCAGAAGGACCCTCTCTGCCTGCCACGCCCCCCTGGAGGACATCTGGCTGCCTGGCCACGCCATCACAGCAAGGGAAAGACTCGGACACTCTGGGGCTGTGCAAACAGTGCCCCAAGTCAGATACAGAGAGGCCGTCCTCGGTCCCCACAGAAGTCACCTATCAGCTGGGACACTTCTGGTGATGTTGTGTGTGTAAAGCAGGCAGCCTCTCTGAGGAAGTCCCTGCAGCAGACCAAAGGACACTCTTCTCACATTGATCCTTGTTTCCTGATAGGTTGAAGGTGCCTTGGAGTATGGAATTACAAGCGACGACATATTCTGGTTGAAGGAGTCCCCTGGAAAAACGTAAGGCCCCAAGTGTGCAGCCATGTGTGTTCTCTGTTCCCAAAGGGACGCTCAGAACTGCATGAACCTGGTTTTGGTCCTCTCTGTCTGGTGTACTCTTTCCCCTGTATTTAGAAAAAGATGCCCATTTCTCTTCCCCTCTGCAGGGCCATTGGCGCTCTGTGTCCTGTGGCTGTCTTGGAAGTGACAATGTGAGTTCCAGGTCTAGAGCAGTAGGTTTTCCAGCAGGCTCCCAAGAACCACAGGGGCTCCAGTGTTCCCATCGAGGACACTGAGGAGGGCATTGAGGGAAAAAGCAGGGCTCGGTCATTGAGGAAAGCCCTTGGCCCCTGCCCTTGGCTCCGTCAAACGTTCCCACTGTCATCTGGGTCACCTGTGGGTCTCTCTGAAATCTAGCAAAGGCTCCAAAGGCCTTGGGAATCTGAGCCCAGTATGGGAGCAAAAACTGCAGATGTGGGTGGTCTTACGCTCCCCGAGCAAGTGGGAATGTGCTACGTGCATTTTCGGGCCCACAGATGGCCTGTTGTCCACAGGAGCTCTCCCACCGGTGGGTGCAGAAGGGACTTCACGGTCTCAGGAACTAAAGAGGCCACCAGAGGGCGGCAGAGGCTTGGTCAACAGAGAGCTTTGCTTCCTCTGGGACTTGCCTTAGAAAAATACCAGTGGAAAAGTGTGTTTAGAGGCAGGTGTGTGTGCAGGTCTGTGTGTGTGCGTTTCTGTGCAGGTGTGTGTGTGCGTTTCTGTGCAGGTGTGTGTGTGTGTGTGTGTGGGGTATTATGCATGTGGGGGAGTGTGAATGGGTGTTGCATAGGGGAGAGTAAGAGTGTGTACATGCTCTGTGTGAATTGAAGTGTGTGCATGTTGGGGGAGTGCATACATGTGTACATGTGGGGGGATGTACATAAGGTGTCGTGTTGAGAGTAGGAGCATGTTTGTGTTCTGTGTGTGCGAGTTAGAGTGTATGCATGTGTGTGAGAATACACACAGGCATGCGTGTGCGTGGGAATGTGCATGGGGAAGTGAGTAGGTGATGTGTGGGAGGAGTAGGAACATGTGGGTGTCCTCTGTCTGCGAGTTGGAGTCTGTGTACACGCTGTGTGTCACATGCTCTGCTTGTCCTCATCGTTGCACATCTCGTGGGGCACCTTTGTTTGGTGTCAGGTCTCAGGTGGCTGGGATGGATTCTACTTTCCCTCCGTTAATGAGTACCTCAGTTGTTTCTATTTTCTACCGTCATAAAGGCTGCAATTAAAACTTGGGACGTGCATCTTCTACACCTACATGTTTCTCATGTGTTTTGTATACCTGCCAGGGTTTCCTGCAGTAGCAAAGCCAGTCGGAGGGTAGTACCCTTCATGTCTTAACCCATCACACTAACAGGCCTGTCTCCCGCGAGTACACCCCAGTCCATGCACACATTTGCCTGCTCCCTGAGCTCCATACCTCTGGCACCAGCTTTTTACAAGACCTCATGTGGAAAGGGGCACAGTCTCCTGCTTCCATGCCCACCATTCTCAGGGGTGCACGCTTGCTCACCTGTGGCAGGTCCACGCCCTTCCCCGTGGCCATCAGTAGCCCCAACTGGAGCCTGCCAGTTGCCTTCCACGGGTTTTCCCAGGTTGTGTTTTATCAGTTGACTTGGTGATATTTTTTATTATTAAGTTTTAAATTTTTGTGTTGCACCATTTATCATTTTTCCCTCTATGTAATAATTTCTTCTTCTTCTTCTTCTTTTATCTTTAAACATGATCTCATTTTGTTTGCTTTTGCTGAGATTGGTTAGTATAGGTAGCTTTTCATGTGTTTATTGGCCACTTAAATTCAGTGCATCTGTGTGCGTTTCTCATAGTGTGTGTGTGTGAGTGTGAGTGTGTCTGTGGGGTGGGTGGGCATGAGTGTGTGTGTCTCTGTGTGTTTGTGAGTGTGTATCGTGTGCATGCATGAGTGTGAATGGTCACCTTGGTCCTTGGCCTGCTTTTCGATCTTGCTTTTCTACCTTTTCCTTTTCTCAGGAGTCCCTGGATGGCCCAAAGGGTTAAATGCTGGACTGCTAACCTCTAAAGTTTGGCAGTTCAAACCCACTCAGAGAAGCCTGAGAAGTCAGGCCTCATTTTCTGCTTCTAAAAGCCCATATCCTTGAAAACACTGTGGAGTGGGTCTACCTGCACTCCTGGGGTTGCTGTGAGCCAGACATGACTCAGGCTTCAACACGACCGACAGCAGCAGTAGGCCTTTACTGTCCTTCCGGTAGTTTGGGTGGTAACAGTGTGCCCCCGTGTCATTTAGGTTGCAGAGTTTATCAGCTTGTCATTTTTCTTGTAACTTGCTTGGTTCACAAAAGCCTGTGATGTGCAAATGGTTTGTCTTTCTTTCTTTCTCTCTAGATGTAACTTAAACTCTTTTTTACACTTAATGGCTTTTAGATTTAGTGCATATTCAGAAAGGCAACTTTCTTTTGAAACTTGTCTTTCAAAAACTACAAATACTTTCTTTTGGAGCTTCCACAGTCAGGTTTTCTTTTCAGTTAGTCTGTGCTGTGGGTGTGCTTGTCTCTCCACCCACTGACCAGTCTGCAAGTCACACCCCTACTCTGAGTCCCAAGCCCACGGCTGGCCTCAGCCCCTGGCATCCTTGTTTATTCCACGAACCCCATTGCACTGCTGCGGCCAGGGCCGGCTTGTCGCTCTTCCCGTCTTAGTTTCCACTCGCCTTGATTTCTTCTGATGAGAATAGAAACAATCTGTGGCTCGAGATGGAACAGGCTTCCCATGTGGCTCCAGGTGCTGCCTCTCTGTCAGCTCTGCTGTCACCAAGTACAGCGTTTCCTGTGTCCTGGTACCATTTTGTGGGAGCCTCACTCCTGTCTGTATAATCGTGCTGTTTGGTGTTTTTTCTGTTTTGAAAGCAACACACCAGCCCCGGGAGGATCCTGAGTTTTGCTTGTTTCTTTCTTTACCTACTGACTGTGGCCTCTGCTCAGGGCCTGCCTTGGAGGGAGGTCCCGCGCACAGTAGGTGTGTAGCAGCGCTGGCCGGAGGCAGCCCAGCACAGGCCAGCTCCTCTGTGAGTGTGTGCCAAGGCAGCCGGTGAGGCCAAGAAGACACAGCCCCAGATATTTTGGTCAGGAAAGAAACGGCAGTGTTTATTTTCTTCAGAAAAAAACATTTAGAAGATTTTTTTTTAAAGCTCTTTCGTTGAGAAGGAATCTAGGTATGTTATTGTTTAAGGGGGAAAAAAAAAAAGTGTTTGCAATGTATCAGTCACCCGTTTAGTCCTGAGCATGATTTATGTGAGGAAATGGTTTTTTTAAAAAATTAAGCTGGAGATCTATCCCTGTACGATGCTTCTGTGAAAATGCTGCTTTTGTCCGGTGCTGTTAATGCAAGTTGTAACAGTGTAATAGGGAGTCAGTGTTTACATGTTACATTCCTCAGCTGTAGTCAAAATAAGCCTGCAGGGCCTACAGTAGCATTTCTGTATTTTATCAGCTTGGGTTGGGGCTGAGGGGGAGGCTGCCGCTCACACTTGGAGGGGCTGTTTCTGCCAGATTTATTTGCCTTATAAATATTCCTGTGTTTATTTTAACTCTCTTTTAAAATGGAGCTGAAATTAATATGGACCTCAGGGCTGCTCTCCTGGCCCCAGAGCACCTCCCCGAGCTGCGTGGGGATGGTCAGGGCTGGCTCCGTCCAGGAGGCCTGGCTGCCAGGGGAAGCCAATGGAGGGACAGCCCCTCGCCCCTGTGAGCAACGCGCCTGCGCCTCTGCAGACGACCGTGCCTGAGCCTCCCATCTGCCACGGCACCGAGTGGGCTGGTCTGCGCCCCGAGGCCGGAAGGAGGGAGGGTGGGGGGTGGCCATGTAGCATCCCTCTGTGGGTTTTGGAGCTGTGCACAGGCCTCCGTCCCACCTTCCCGCCCGTGAGTGGGCGCAGGGTGGCAGCACGACCCCCTGCCTGGCTCCAGAGGCTGGGATCGTCCCTTCCGCTGCGTCTCTGTGGGGCGCAGTGACAGGAACTGTGGGTTCTGGCCCGTGGAGCCCAGCGGTGGGAGCCTGGGGCTCGTTAGCCTCCTGCAGCTGCGACACTCACCTTTGCCACCCCAGGCCACCCAGGTGTCACGGCACAGGGCCCCTGTGACCACAGAGGCCTCCCAGCCTTCACTCTGTGCACAGGTCTTGGGGGCCCAGTGCTAGACAGACAGAAGAGACGGGAGGACCAAGCTGATGGGGACAGAGTTAATGGATGTGCTTCATGAAACAGTAGGGTGCTGCCGCGGACCCTGAGTGCTGGTCCTGGTTTAGATCCCCTGAGGAGATGGGTTGAGTGTGGAAGCCTCCAGGAGTGCCTGGGAGAGAGGCCGGGGGCGGGGCAGCACCCTTCGGGGGGAAGGCGTTGCTGGCTGGGCAGTGGTAGGACACACGGGAGCAGGGAGGCCCTGGAGGTGAGCCTTTGCCACTCGAGTGGTAGCTCGGGGTCTGGGCTGTTTTCCCTTTCCATTGTTCTTGTTTCCTTATTTTTCTGTGAAATTCCAAGACAGGTGGGAAAGTGAGGAGAATGGTGGGGGAGAGAGGGTCCCTTGGGCAGGAGTGGGCAGGAGAAGAATGTGGATGCGGCAGTGGGCCGGACCCTCTGCCTAACAGCAGCTGTTACACCGCCAGGGGCGGAAACAGGGACAAAGAGGGGGCGAGGACCCAGCGGTGCTGAGGCTGGGGACTAACGCTGCAGGGGTGGTGAGGGCCCGGGGTGAGTGGCTGAGGCTGGGGGCAGTGAGGGCCCAGCACGTCTGGGGCTTGGGGAGGGGTTGGGAGGTGAGGGCCCGGCTGATGGAGTTGGGGTGGGTGGGAACCCACAGCACATGCAGTCTCCCTGGCCTCTCTGCTTACCTTAGAGCTGCCTCCCCCACGTAGGGTCTCCAGCTCAGTCTCCCAATGTGCCTGGCCCGGGCCAGGAGGGCCTTTTGCTTCCACTTCTTGTACTTTCATGACCCTGGGTCTCCTCGT